ATTTGTAGTACACTGGATAAATAGTTAAGAATGACCTTTTTATTGTTAATTATAAATAAATTATTTGCTGAAAATATTTGTACATGTGATTTATAGAATTTATTTGTTTATATAAAATTAATAATGGGTCAAATCATTTTGTATAAAAAGACCTTATAATTATTTAGCTTTGTTTTCATAATTTTATGGTAATAAAAGTTCACCTTCCACTTTTGTCCTTGAAGATTTCTGACCTTTTCCTTTCTCTCTCTCTTTTTTTTTTTTTTTTTTTTTGGTTTTTGTTTGTAAGTTGGAGGTCGGTGGAATTTCAGGAAGTTGAATTTTAGGTGTTGTTTGGGTAGCTCAGAAAATTGATTTTTTTTTTGTCTTTTCATTTTTTTTATTTGCTTGTTTTTTCTCCTTTCCTCGGGAGATGGTGAAAAATATATTTTTTCACGTGTTGTGTGAGGATGCAAACGCTTCACACGTTGAAGACGCAAAGGTAATTGTTGGTTTTTCACTTGTAGAACCCCCCATGATTTTATGAAAATGTTTGAAAAAATAAAAAAATATTTTTTGCCTAAAACGACACCGTTCAATTCTAATTGTTCCCTTGAGGCCTGTGACGGCCAGGTTGGCTGGCTGGGTGTCAATTCTATTTTTGATCTGCCTGTTTTCTGTCTCTATTACTTTGCTGAGACGATAAAAATAATGAAAGGCTCTCTTTATCTCTCTTCATCTAATTTCCCTCATCTCTATCTCTAACCCTAGCTAGCCTTCATCTTCATCTCTCCTGATAGTCATTGATGATCGATTAGTATATCTAGGGTTCTAATGATGGGACTTGAGACACTTTCTGTCTTTTGAAAAACAAACTATAGGTTTAGGAAATATTTAATTTTTTTAATATCCTTTTCTGTTTTTAAACAAAATAGTTTTTGAAAACAAAAAGGGGTTTTCTTTGATACTCACCGAAAGTAATAAGACAATTTGTCAAATCAAATGATTTTTCTATTTCCAAAAACAGAAATTTGTTTTCAAAATAAATCCGAACGGCCCTCTTAATGTTTTCTATTTCTTAGAAAGAAAAGCTTTTCTTAAAAAAATAAATTCAAACACACCCTCTGCATCTATTTCACATCATCGGATGAAACCCTCTACTGTTTCTGTGGATTGGCACATGCAGTAGATGGAGCTTTTTGGACGGGAATTACCAAAGTGACAAACATACTTGGTGATTATGCAATTGCAACCGTTCGATGAGTAGACCATTTTAAAATTTTTTATTTTTGGGATTGGACTGAACATCTAGATCATGTTGTTTGTCTAATTGTTTTTCTTTTGCGTCCAAAGGCTGGCATAATGAGGGCCCACCGTAACATTGTATTGAACTCTACTATTATCTGTTGGGCAGCCTTTCAGTCCTATACGCAGGTAGCTTGTCTACACCATGTACATCACAAAAATATAAAATTCGGTTATATTTTATAAGAAAAAATATATTTATATGAAATACATTAAATATGAAATTGATCTAATATATTATTTAAAGTAATCATTTGAATTATATAAAAAACAATCTAATCAATTGTATTGAGTTTATTATTATTATTATTATTTTTTGACATAGCAGTTAGGTGCTTAGGCTTGATTTAAATGTTAGAGAAAATAATAATATAATTTATTAATTTGTAAATTATAAATTATTATTATTTTAAATTACAATATCATTATTTAACAATTATTTAACTGTCAAATAAAAGTTAATAACTGTTAATTTCAAAATATTGTGAGTTTTAAATTGAAATTTTCGTAATAGTAGATTCCCAAATTTCTATTATTTATAATTAGGATTTTCTTAAAATCTCCTTTAAATTATATTTATACGCCTCAAATTTTATTTTCATCCTTTTTATTTTAATAATTGACTCCATTTTCAGTCCCCCCTCCAGTGTCACCTTGCACCAATAAGATTATGTGCATTGGTCAAGTTCCAATAGGAATATTGTCATATTATTAGATGTTGATTCATTTTAGTTTTAGTGAGACTCATATTAAGCACAGGTCCAGTAGTTTGATGACTTCTACGCATGTTAAATTATACCACTAGATATTATTTGTTCAAGCACTGAAAAATTTATAAAGAAAAAAAGCGTTATTACATCGTAGTTTATCACTAACATTAACTGTGATCGAATATCAGGAAGATCTTTTTCTAATTTCATATTTTCCATTTTTAGAGTTAATGCAAATCCTGTGCGTAGATTTTAGACAAGTAATTGTGATAAATGCAGAGAGTGGAGAGTAGAGAGAGGGAAAGACAAGTAACTGTCGCCGTAGATTTGCTCGAGGTTTTTCTTCAATTGCTAAAGGGATTATTCTCCTGAATCCTGATATTAAAATATCACGTCTCAAAAAATGTGTGAATGAATAAACAATTCGATGCTCCTTTCGTGTTCTTGTTCTGTTTGCCAAAACGGACGACGCATGACGAGGCTTCCAAGTACTTAAGCGGAAATCCTATTCCGACTGCCCCATCACATGGGAGTGTCTAGCGTCAGTCAACCATGGACTGACTGACATGCAATTCTTTTTGTCATTGCGCGCGCGTGGTAAGGATGTACTAATTAATTAATTTATTATTTATATATTAATAAGTAAAAAGACAAAAACAACCTTAATATATCATCAAGTAAAATAATTAAAACACCCAGAGCACTTATAGTTCCAGCATTGACGCCATGAACGCCGGACAGTCCATGAAGCTCGTTGTGGTTTAGATCGGAGACTATAAGTTCGGTCTGGGCTACCATCTCCTTTGGTACTTGCAGTGCCGTAAAGGAGTTGTGACAAAGAGTGAGTTGTTGCAGAGGTGGATGGTTAAAAATCGCCGCCGGAATCATCCCCAAGAAGTCCTAACTCGCCATAGCTCTTTGGAAGACTGCCTTGTAAGTTGTCGTTTCGCATAGAGAGTTCGACCAACGACGGTCACAAAGTTGCTGGAAATCTCCTGGAGATCTTGTTATCGCTCTCATAATAAACGTAATAGAGGCTTTTAAGTTGGCTCAGGTTTGGAAACTCACCGGAAAAGTTATTTTGTTGCAGCTCCATCTGTTTCAAGCTCACTAACCCATTGAAGCTAGGAGGGATCAGACCAATGAGCTGGTTTCCGTCAAGGTATAGCTATTCGAGCTGGGAAAGCGAGAGTTGAGCGAGTCGGGTATCTGTCCTGTGAGCGAGTTCTCGGAAAGGCTGAGTCAAATCGCATCTAAAGCCGCAGTGAAGCAGTCAGTGAAGGCATGGTAGCAAGGGTCGACTGAGAAGTCCCACGAGCTCAGGCACGAGGTGGGCTTGATGGAAGGGGATGAAGACCATGTTTCGGGGCTTTCATCTTTACATCTTAGTACATACATCTGGTACCTCAGTAATAATATCTAGGGGTAATTTGTCTTTATAGCTAGTACAACAATAAAAAAAAAATTGTTGTACTCGAAAAAAAAGAAAAAAGCTGTACACAAAATAAAATTAAGGCTGTACTCACTCAACGGTTGAGATGAGTTATTACAATTCATCAATGGTTAGAAATTAAGTAACTGACATACATCCAGTACATTGAACGACGGATAAAAACCCCCCATCACATTCCCACTTGAAGCAGCCACGTATCTCTCCCCCCCCTCTCTCTCTCTCCAATTTTTTTGGCAGCTATAATTTATAGGGATAAAGATATTTTATTGAAGAATCCGTTGGTGTGTAACCAGCCGGTCCACGTCTGACGATGGGAGGAACTAAACGCGCTTACTTCTCTGCTCCTCTCTGACTTGTCTGAGTCTCATTTTAACTTTATAAAAGCGCCGCAAGATTCGTACCAGAATCTGCTTTTGAATCTCTCGAACAAGTCTCCGCAGCAAGATTTGGATCTCCCGCCGAGTTTCTCGACTCTTTTATGCTTCAGTCGCCTAGCGAGTAAATTTTCTCCCCAAAACATATTTCTGTTTGCTTTTTGCTTTTTCTTTTGAAAATTATTTCAGGTAAATAGAAAACACACTATCTGCTTCAAAGCAGTAATTTGAGATTTTCGTTGTTTTTGAAACCTTATCTTCTTATTCTGATGACTTTTACCAGATCTGGTGATGTATAGCAAACTAGTTACAGAGAGCACCTGAAACTGAAAGGAAAATACGAGTCCCTGCAACGCTACCAAAGGTATGTACCGGCCTTCCTTCAGTGGTTCTGTTTTCTGAAATTTGCTTTTCTTTTCTGGGTTCTAGGTTTTTTCTGGTTGCCTAAGACGTCTGACAAATTCTTCGAAGTTTGCCTGCCAAAAAACTTCTTTCTTTCTATTGGTTCCAGCTTCTGTGTCTAATTCTAAACCACCCTGCTGATACAGTAAAGGCAGGAATTTGAAAATCATCACTTGGATGAATCAAGTAAATTTGGTGTCAAGTAAATTTGAGACCAACCTCATCCCCAGTTGCCATTATTGGGGGATTTTCCTCGCCATCTTGCGCATAATTATCTCTCTTGGTGCATGTTTCAACTAAGAATCTTAGTGCTTCCATTGGAGCAGCTGCTACTAAAGCGCGTTGCTCTACGGCTTGTGATTCTTTGCTCACCTGTATTAATGTATAAACAATGAAACTACTGATGATAGAGCTTAGAAACTATTGAAACTACTCTTTGCTCACCTGTGATTCTTTGCTCATATGATAGAAATAATATTACAGGTCCCCTGCTTTTAACTCTATAAAAGTGCCCCAAGATTTCGTATCAGATCCCCTGCTTTTGAAATCTCTCTAACAAGTCTCTGCAGCAAGATTTGGATCTCCCACCGAGTTTCTCGATGCTTTTTATGCTTCAGTCGCCTTAATCGTCAGCTGAGTTCCCTTGATTTCTCATCCGCTAATTGTTAAATTAGTGCCCGATCTTGGTAATTCACACGAATGCTTTCATTCTTATTGATATTGATTTTTAATTGCTCATACAAAAAAAGAAAGTATATATGTCACAATGATTTAAGGTCTCGTCTTTTGCCTGAATTCTTCTCGCACGTTTACAGAAAAGAAAGAGCCAAGCTGGGGGAAGTAACAAAGTCTCCCTCGCCCGGTCACGCCCATTCTCCTAGAGACGCCTATCATCTAACCGTGTCTATTTATTAGCCTCTAATAAACGACTTCGATTTATATCTAAGGTTCGTATGTCTTGATATTCATTTTAGATTTGAAGCTTAGAAATTTGATTTTGGACTTGTATTTCATTGTTAGAATAATATTTTGTGTTGGGATTTATTTTCAACCAATTGAATAATTTATTGTTTTGTTGGTTTAATAAGATGTCAACACGAATTGGCGGTTTTTCTGGAGGGGACACTGATGAAAAACTTCAATGGGGAAAAAGGAAGAGAAAAGGTTTATTGAACTCATTCTTCAGGAAGTGAGAGAGAGGAATCTCACTTCCACCACGTTGAGTAGTAGAGAATGGGGGATAATAGGTGGTCAAATGACTCAGAATTTTCAAAAGCCATATGCTTAGATAAATTAAAGGCAAAATATACTCTCCCTCTAGCCAGACTCCGTTGACGCCGCCGCCCCTTCTTTCCTCCACTGACTCCAAACCCTACGTAGTGTTCCGCAACGAGATTCCTCTCTCCTCGATTCGATGGCCCTCGTTGGAAACCGCCGCCCCAGAGTATTTTTCTCTTGACACCACTGCCGATACGGAGGAGCCCACGAGTCCGGTTTTGACTCCGTTGCCAGCTGCTACTCCGCCGCCTGTTCCTGAGCCGCGAAGAACGCTCGAGGGAGTATGGTTTCGGCCGAATTTTTGGTTCAAGAGCCCCATGCTTCAGCTTCATAAAGGTATTTCATTTAGTATATCGCTGTTTTCAATTGTTACAGTTTCAGTTCCGGCTGAACGCTTCATTCTGGTCACTGTGGTTTGGTGTGGATACTTTATGGCGTTAGGATTTTATAAAAATTGTGATCATAGGTTGAATTGATGGTTGGGAAGTGGGCAGTGGCTTATGGCATGACACATCTATAAAAATCTTAGGAAAGCGTTAATCTCAGTTGAGTTTCAGCTAGGGATTCATTCTGGTCCCTGTGGTTTGGTGCATTGGTACTTATGTCGTTAGTGTTTTCGCAAATAGCAATTGCAATGAGAAGGTTGAATTAACGAATTTGGAATTGCCCAATGGTTTTTGACTCAACACATCTATTAAAATATCTGGAAAAAATTGCCGTAATAATGATTAGCATGGAGAATTATTGTTTACTATACGCCCGCATGTGTGGATGAGTTTTCTTGTACATATGTAAACACTGTTTGTGTTTGTTGGAAGAAGTTACATTGGAGATGATGGATTATTAATTAGGCCTCTGGGTTTGGGCTTCCACTAGGCAATCCTGTAGAGCTTTGATTATTGAAGCATGTACAAAATAATCTGTTAATTTGGCTCGATTAATCTAGCAATTAGTCTATAAATTACGTTGTAGAGTAGAATGTAGATGTGCTTATGATTGCGCACTTGATTTTGAATTATGTAGAATGTCTTAATTATTGATTTATGATTTATACTTGTCTCATCAGTGATGTCCATAATATGGTTAATTAATTTGGTACTATTCAAAGGCATGAATCATGATTTCTGTTGTAGATGATTTTCTTTTGGCTTCAAAGTAGTTGAGAAATGCACATCCAATTATCCTTTCATGGATACTTTTTCTATTTGTTTTTTTCTGATTCTGTGATATGTAATATTTTGGTGCAAATTCATTGTACGTGGATGAAGCTGATGGTATTAAATCACTAAAGTTCGACAATCCAATGAGCTTGTAGGTTGTGATTCTTGGGTCAGATATAAAACTCCACAACTTGGTTTGCATGCCCTTGCTGAAGCCCTATCTCAAAGAGGTATTGCAAAGAAGATGCAGGTGCGCCTTATTTGACACTTGGAAATAAATTTTTTTTAATAAGATTAGTATCTTACATGTAATTTATTTAATTTTGCAGGTGATTGCAAAGGCACGCGTGCCCATTGTCAAATTCATAGAGAAGAAAAGTGGTGTTGCCTTTGATATAAGGTTCATAAATCCAAAAAGTGCAGTGCCATTTTATTTTGACATGTTTTTCGATATAATTTAGAATTTATTTGAACTTGTACTTTTTGTTTTACTAGTGGATTAGCAACTTCAGTTGTGGAGGTCTGTGGTGTGTGTTAGTCACACTCATAGCATGGAACTTTGAACAACAAAAATTAAAGTGAAATAAAAATGGAAAGGGTTGAGATCATATTTACCTGGTTAGCCCTACCCCCGGGGAAGTTCGATCTAGGTTGGGCAACCCAATTCATGGTGCGTTCTTGACCAAGATCGCTAATTGCAGTGTCCCGAATTCACTTTGTCCATTTTTGAATTAATTGACTTGTATAAATCAGCAATATCATTAATGACTGATTTTCTAACATTAATTAGACCTTCCTTTTTACGATTGATAACAATTCTTTCTTTTTGAATAGAATGTAATTTTTTTTGAATAGAATGTAATTAGCCTACAGTCTAGGGTTTATTAAGGAATGCATTTATCATGAATTCTTTTTCTAAAATAAAGGCTACAACCCTTTTTTTTAAGGGAATATAATGCATTTATTACAAATGCCTTTTCCAAAACAAACGCTGAAAGTTAAACCTTCTAATTCATCAGTTTTTTTAGGGAATATAATGCATTTATTAAGAATTCTTTTTCCAAAACAAATGCTGAAAATTAAACTTTTGAGCAGTTTTTTTTTTAAACGGAATATAATGCATTTATTAGTAATTAGTTTTCCAAAATAAAGACTAAATTTAATCTTTATATTGTAATTTATGGTTTGATGGGAAATCTTTCTTTTTGTTAACCTTGTCTTATTTTTTGATAATTAGAAATTAAAAACATGTCCATAGTTATATATACATACAATATACATATGGACGACCCATACTATTAACTCCTAACCGTACTGAAAAAGCATTCCGAATAAGCCAACCCCCCTACCTCATACCAAAGTAAGTGGTAAATGACGTACCCGTACATACCTGTCTCACATTCCTTACCATACACTGATTTCAGGTAAGTATGGTTGAGATATATGTGGTCCAGATATGTGATTTAACAATCTTACCTGTGAAGAGTTGCCTGTCATTGGCTAAGTGATCAGTTTGGCCCAAGATGAATTTATGGCAATCCTCCTAAAGTTCCTTGGCTCTTTTCTATGCTTACATGTAGCTTAGGAAGATTTTAGACAAACTACTGTATGTTTCCTGTTCTTAAATTTCCACCTTTTACCCCATACTCTAGATGAGTATAGATTTCTTGCTATGTTGTTTATTTTATATATTTTTTAATGTTACAGTTTTGATAAGGAAAATGGACCCAAAGCGGCTGATTTCATAAAGGTTTGTGATGATATTTTGTGCCAGAGTCTTTTTTGATTATTCTAATGATTGTTTTTACTTTTGTATAAACATGCATATGTGCACTCAATAAGTATCACATGAATACTGAAATTTCAATTAGTGAAAGGCACTGTTTCTTTCTTTTAAGGTTCTTCAATTTTAATTTGAGTGACTCTCTCTTTCAGGATGTTGTATCTAAGTGGCCCCATTACGGCCATTGTGTTTGATTTTGAAAGTTTTTTTACAGCAAAGAGAGTTGAATGAGGTGCAAATACATTTACTTTGTAATTCAATCTCCTATGAAGTTTTCGTTTTGGTTTCCTGAGTTCTAGAGCCCTCGTATTCTCAAACTGTGCAGGTGTACACTGTGGGATTGGATCATATGCACTCTTAGTCATGCTGATAGCTATGATGTGGGTAAATTAATTGGAACATCTTTTAGCATATTTATGTTATAATATGAGAATCATACGAAGTGTCAGCCTAGTTGACACGTATGGTTGCATATTTGAATGACTTTAGTAATAGGGGCTACTGACTTCCTCTCATATAAACTATTGTAGCTTCCATTCTTTGAAATCTTATTTACTAGTTTTGGTTTGGACACTTGAAAGCTTTAGTCAATGAGTTTCATAAAGCACCAAATATAAATACGGTTCAATACAAATTGATTCTGGTGAGATGACATTTGATCAATTTACCATTCAATGATGCCTTTGATGTATTGTTAGCATAGTCAAGGAAGATTGGTAGAATGGGATGGGAGGGGGATGTAAAAGGATTCCAATTCCATATTGAGCTGGTAAATTGGATAAAGTTCATACTATTCTGTTCACTGTAATGAAAAAAGTTGATCACATCTGAGCTTTGCATGGCTGTATTGGACTATTTAGATCCAACTTGTTTCTTGCTAGAAGATCATTTGAAATCAGCTTGTTAATAAACAAGCCAAGCTTTTACACAATTTGAAATTTGACTATTTTTTCTCAGCTCTAGCTTGGCAGGATAAACTACAAGTACTTTTATGTTATATATGAAAATTAAGCTATTATACCAAATAATAATAATGATGACGATGATAATAACAATAATAATGATGATGAGGATAGAATCAACCTACTTGAAGTCAGTTGTGGTTGGCTCATTGTAAGGTTGCTTAAGTTGGACCCAATAGTTAAGCAAGCCTAGTTTGTGATAGAGATAAATGGCAGCAACCTATTAAGGTTTATAAAACACAAGGAACTAACTCTTCCAAAGTTCAAGCTTTGATTTGGCATGAGTTAGAGGATGAAAATCTTACCTGGGAGCTTGCAAGAGCTTAAAATTTTAAGTTAAGTGTTTATTTTTATTTTAGAGTTTTTTTTTTTATTAATTGCATTAGGTAGGGTTGGTTAGGGTTTTATTTAATTTTTATTTAAATTACTTAAGTAAGGGTATTTAGGTCATTTTACTTATTAGGGCAGCACAAGATTTCTCTTATAAATACTGTGCTATGGTTATATTTAAAACATTATTGATTTTAATAAGAGATATCTTCTAGAGTTTCTTGAGTTTGGGATTGTGTGATACAATCTAACTTTAGGTGTGACTCCTAAAGGTTTCTAGGAGTGATTTCTAGAATTTCTTCTTATTCTTTCTCTTTGTTATCATTGTTTCTTACCAAGTTACTATTCTCGCACTGTTTATTGTTCATGCGACACTGTTACAGTTCATGCGGCACTGTTTATTAGCCAAAAACCACTAAAAAACACTAATCTGAAAGTGTGCTACATCAGTTTGGTATCAGAGCAGGCTTTTCTTTACAAGTCCGGCCACTCTTAAACATGGTTAGCAACAACGAATTGCAGGCTGAATTTAAAGATTTCAAACAAGAAGTTCATGCATGAAGAGTTAGATCCATTAGAAATTTGCTGCAACTGATGTAAGATTGGAATCGTTTGAATCAACAATAGCACTCTAAAGGCTTATGTTGATGCCTTGCTTGCACAACAGACCAGAAATATTCTACATCAGAACTCTGAAGCCTCCGCAAGTGCAGGTCAAGGTCAAAGATTGAAGGGAATAGCTGATCCGTCTTCTAGTTCCCCCGTACAGTTCTTGCCAACAGATGTTTGTTTTACGCAGGCACAAGAGAGGACTCAACAACTTATTGAAACTCCCCTTCCTCAAGCACAATTTAGAAGGCAAGATAGGCTTGACAAGTTAGATCTCTATGATGCAACAAGAGATATTACCAAGAAGGTTTGTGTTGACGTGTCAGATTTTGATGGTAGAATTGATCCGCAAGTTTTTTCTGATTCGCTTGCCACATTAGAGAGGTATTTTGAATGGTATGATATGCCCGATGAGAGAAAGTTCGTTTCACCACCATGAAACTTGTTGGACAAGCCCAAATCTGGTGGAGTGGTATTGAATATGAAAATCATATTCAAGGGCTTCTGCAATGAATTGGGAGGAATGAAATTTTGCATGAAGAGAAAATACTTGCCCTATCATTATCAATATGAAATTTTTGATGAGCTTACTTCTTTGAGACAAGGAGCATGACTGTAATAGAGTATATGAACAAGTTTGAAGAGTTGAAAATTCGGTGTAGGGCAAAGGAAGATCCGCGCCAAGCTCTTTCGAGATTCAAGTTAGGTTTGAAGCCTCGACAACCAATTGATTTGGTGACTTTACCTATTGAAGCTCGTCCTAGTATTGAAGCTGATTTTTTTTCTAAGCATATCCTAGACATGCATGATGATGTTAGAAGAAAGATTGCAATTAGCAATGAGAAATACAAATCTCATGCAGATTTGCGACGGCGCTTTGTTGATTTTCAAGAGGGAGATATGGTTATGGTCTGTATTCATTCTGAGAGGTTCCCTAGAGGTTCCTATAAGAAACTTCATCCCAGAAGTGCTGGTCCTTGCAAGATTCTCAAGAAGATTAGTTATAATCCTTATGTCCTTCAGTTACCAGATGATGTTGGCATTAGTAAAGTTTTCAGTGTTGAAGATTTGACTGCGTATACAGATCATAAAGATGATTCTAGTGCTGCTGCTGTTGCTGCTCCTACAACAAAGTTTCCACCAACAGCACACTTAAAAGAAGAGATTGAAGATGTTATTGATCACCAATTGGTCTCAACACGCAGTGGAGGATCCCAAAAGTTCCTCATCAAATGGAAGGGCCGTCCACTATCAGATTGTACATGGATTTCAGAGGTTGATTTTCAGAAACTCAATCCTGATTTCTATGAGGAATTTCATGCATTTAACTTGCCGAAGTCGAGTTTTTTCAAGTCGGGGAGAAATGATAAAGATGAATGGCAGCAACCTATTAAGGTTTATAAAAGATGAGGAACTACCTCTTCCAAAGCTCAAGCTTTGATTTGGCATGAGTTAGAGGATGGAAATCTTACCTGGGAGCTTGCAAGAGCTTAAAATTTTAGTTAAGTTTATTTTTATTTTAGAGTTTTTTTTTATTAATTGCATTAGGTAGGGTTGGTTAGGGTTTTATTTAATTTCTATTTAAATTACTTGAGCAAGGGTATTTTGGTCATTTTACTTATTAGGGCAGTACAAGATTTCTCTTATAAATACTGTGCTAGGGTATTATTTTAAAACATTATTGATTTTAATAAGAGATATCTTCTAGGGTTTCTTGAGTTTGGGATTGTGTGATACAATCCAACTTTAGGTGTGACTTCTAAAAGTTTTTAGGAGTGATTCCTAGAATTTCTTCTTATTCTTTCTCTTTGTTATCATTGTTTCTTACCAAGTTACTGTTCACTCGACACTGTTACTGTTCACGCGGCGCTGTTCAATAGCCTAAAACCACTAAAAAACCCTAATCTGAAAGTGTGCTACACCAGTTTGGCTGGTCTTTCTAAGCTTATGTGTGCTGTGCTTGGTTGACTTAAAATGGTGCTGCTGTTAGATTATCTTCGTAATGTAGTATTTTTTCTCTATATTGCTTCCAAGTAAATGCTTCTGTTAATTAAATTATCTTCAGTATGGACTGTTTGTATTATTGAACTTAGACTAAATTTGTGTTCCGTGTTTTTTTTTCTCCATATAATTCACTTGACTATGCAGAGTCTTCGCGAGCAGCAAGCTTCTCCAGAACATAACTTTGGAGTTCTTTTGGTATGTTTTTCCCAGCAAGTCTTACTTTACATCACTTTGGTGATGCATATTTTGTCATCTGACTAAGATGAAATTTGTTCAAAGTGCATGTGCATTAGATTAGCCTAGTACTTTAAACTTTATATGTTGCCAGACAGATGATATGAATTCAATGTGTCCTTAAGACCAGGATAGTTATACTCACTTCGTGCTCACCATTGCTGAGATACAGCTGTAAACCTTAAATGATTGGCGATAGAAAATGGAATTTTTTGGATAGTACAAGTCATGCCACGTGTAAATATACTGTTGGCTACTGCAGCTTTCCTTTAGTACAATAGTTTAGTGTTTAACTTCGTTGGCTGAAAATTGTTGGAAAAGAAGGAATTTTGTTGATTTCTACATTCTCATTGATGGTGGTTTTGGAAATCAGGTCAAATTTTTTGAAATCTTTGGATGCAAATTGAACACGTCGGATGTTGGTATATCTTGTAGTGGAGAGGGGACCTTCTTTTCCAAGACTAACAAGGGGTAAAAACTTAGCTGGGGAAAAAGAAACAACACTTGTTTTACTTTATAACACTTTCCATGTCAATTTGGATAATTTTTGCTTGGTTTTGCTTGTGTTTTTAGGTTTTCAGTTAAAGGAAAGCCATTTCTTATTGCCATTGAGGACCCGCAGGTTAGGATGAGGCTTCTGATGCATATATGCTTTACTAGGAACTGTTTGTGGATTCTTAGCACCCTGTCATTTGGGAGCAGCTCTGGCTGGTTTCAATTGGTTGGGTGACTGCACCCCAGAGGTTGTCTGGAGTACCCAAACAGTTCAAGAGAAGTAAGGGTCACCTGTAATTCCTATTGTAGTACCTTGCAGTTTCACATTTTTTTCTGTGGGACTAAAGCTATTGCTGCAAAATTGTGGCAAGTTGTGGCCAGAACAGAATGAAATACAAACGTGGGTTCTATTTGACTCCTACTTCTTATAGCAATTTGATCCTCTGATTGTTTGCTGATTTTTTTTTTTCAAATTTTTAAAGGCACCGAAAGTGACCTCGGGAAGAATTCATTCAACTATTTCCAGGTTTGATTTCCTTGATTATACTCTTCCTTCTTTGATTGGGATGGCTTTATAGACCCTCAAAGACCTGTGTGCCTCAATCTTAAGGATGGACACTCCATGTTGGTGGCTACCCTGTCCATGTACGTCATGCACATGGTGTCCAAAATATTTATTACATCTTTAAAATTTCAGACATGCATGTCTTACCAGTCTGGCAAATGAACCAACATCAGTTTTCTCTGCAAGAATAATATGAAATAATTTTTTGCATGTAAACAGCTCTCCATATCAAATTTATATATACCCAACATTAATTTTTTTGCAAGAATAACGTGAAATTAAAAACATAATTTGCATATATTTAGACAATAAAGGAATAAAGTAATTCCTATAAATCTATTATAGTGGCTTTTGGTTTGTGTTGAGTGGTCTTTAAGCAGGAACAAATCCTTTTGATTATTGGGTATTTATGATATTTTTGGATAATTTATGAATGTTGTTATTATGAATGTAATGAATATAAATTTTAAGGAATTTTTGTTTTTTGACTGTGCCTGTCATATCCGAGTTGTATTGGACACCATTTTCATGTCCATGGTTCTTAGCTTAGAGCCAATCAAGTTATGCCTTAGAGAAAGACAAAATGCAGAGAGATGTAGTAGCAATGTTCTGATTTTATGATGGCCATTCTTGCTTCTTTTTCCTAACCTTTCTTCTTCCTTCTACCTCAATGTCGTTCCATGCTTGTAAGCAGTGTTTGACAACTTGAACTTAACAGTTCAAATTTATCAATTCATCTGTTTTAAACTCATTCCATTAGCATATGGAAATGTCTAGTCCAGTAAAGGGTTTTACTTGCGATTCTTGCTTCAGTTAAATCAGCATTTGCGATGGCTTACTCAACCCTAACAGATGCCAAGGCCATCTTGGGCCTGGGCACAAACAAGAGCATTCTTGGTACCATAATAAGACCAGACCCAGTGCTACTAGAAAGGCAAGGAGGGTCTAATGGTGAAGTGACATTTAACAGCTTGCTACCTGGAGCGGGAGAGCCACTGCAGCTCCAAGACCAGCAGGAAATTTATTGTAATTGTCAATTAAACGAGGAAGAACCACTTCCCAGAGGAAATGGAATTGCTGAGAATGGGAATGCACCCCTCATCGGGAAAGAAAAGGAAGGCACTTAAGGAGGAGTAGCTTGCTAAGAAAGCGAAAGCAAATGAACAAGTTGGGAATGCCAGGCATGAAAAAAGTAAAAGTGGCTCAAGGAAAGAGAAGGGTAAGAAGAAGAGATATTTAACACATTATCAAGACAGAAATCAAAATAATGGTTTCGGTTACTAGTTGCGCAACTGACTTGGAGTCAGAAGTGAGATCTCACAGTGATATCTTATCCAGGTTTATTGCCTGTGAAGTATTCATTCTTTTTGACAAGTTTTACTAATAGTCATGGTAGTCAACTGCCAAGGGCTAAGCGATGGTACATACGGACTAAGTCCTGGTTACTAAGTCCTGGTTTGTTGTAACGTTGAAGTTGCAGCGCTGTTTGTGCACATACTTCCTGGATCATTGTTAAATTAGGTTGATTTCATGATCTAATACTTATATTTTCTGCCAAATTTGTGTATGATTTGGGTTTTCTTTATTGAATTGTAAGGTTGGATTTTTTTGTTTTGTGTGTACAAATTAATCTGTTCAAACATTATAATTTAAACAACTTTTGAGCACAAAAAGTTCAGGCGCTTGCATGATAGCAGGAAAACTCCAGCATTTAAGCATTGTAACAGTGCAAGAATGGAAAAGTTCACTTTTTCTAATAACAAAATATAAGAGAGATCTCGGTGCTCATTCTATCAGGGTTTTGGAGGATCCAACCCAAGATTATTTGTTTGATAAGAAATGAAATTTCTCGTTGAAAATTGTAAATATTGGAAGAGTTAAGTGTTAAATGTGTTGTTTAATGGGCACGGGATTTTGCATGGGTTTAATTATTTAGTGTAATAGAAAATGATAACCTGGATGAGTTCCATAAGAAAGTGGACGTCTCCGATCTCTACTTTTTCGTTCGTGTCTCTTTCTGTATGCTCTCTTGGGGTCGCCATTTCGCTTGGCCTTTCTGATTATTTCAATTGGAACGTTGACAAAGTGAGTGAGAGCTAGCTATTATAGAAGAGCAGGATGTTCAATAATTGGAGGAGGAAAGCTTCGTTAGTAAGCAATTATAAAGTCTCGTGGAAGACCCGTCGAAGACTTGGTCAGGGAAAACAAACATCAACCGCAACTTCTTAACTAAGTATTATTTCTTTATGCAAAATTTTGGAATATGACAATTTTTTTTCTTTCTTAACAATTCGGTTCCAAGAGAACCAATTTTTTAAATTTTTTTAAAAAATTTATTATTTTTTCCTTTAAAAAGAAGATTTCATTATAATTGACTTATCAAATCTCTTGAAATTTAAAAATTAGATTGAATTCTGTTTTGTCCGAATCAGAATTCTTGAAGCTTGCATTGATAATTGATTTTAGATGAATGAACTAGAAATGGACTTTTGTTTGGAAGTCGGTTTCTCTAATACCAACTTTGGTTACATTTAAAAAAAAAAATTCAATTTCTCAAGAATATAGAAGTATTCTAAAAAAGTAAATTTTAATAAATAAAAAAAATAATATAATACTAATATAAAAAAGCCTAAAAACCAACTCGATTTCAGGTGCAAATTATATTTAGAGACAATATCATGCTCTCTCACGCATTTATATTTGAGAAAGGTTATTTAAAATTATTTATTTGATATTAGATTCTAAGACACTGAATTGGTGGAGTTTAATGGTTATGAGAAAGAAGAAGTGGACAATGGGTGCAACAAAGTGAAGGGTAGATAAACAATAAATTAATTTTCTTACTAATAAAATTATTTAAGTTATTACTAATTATTAAATAAATATTAAATATTAATTTTAATACTAATTTGAATACAATAAACTATAGATAAACAATAAGTTAATTTTTTAAGTTATTACTAATTATCAAATAAATATTAAATATTAATTTTAATACTAATTTAATAAATATGATAATTCAACTACTATTATAAACTCTCAAAAAACTGTTCGTCTATATCAATATTTTAGTATGAAATAAATCCCAATTCATGCTGGTGAGCAGGCTTGGTGGGGGCTGCTGCGGTTGTGACAGTCGGCGCTGAGCATGCGTCTCTATCCGAGACACTTCCAGGTTCCGAAGCCAAGTAGTTAAAATCACACCTGCTTGCTTCGATTCCTCTCGATTCCGGGGCAAACCTCGTTCGATCCTCGGAAAGCCTATGATACAGTCTCATCTCCACTGATCGCTTGATTTCCACATGCTCAGTTTGGATTTGAAATTGCATTTACCTCTTTCTTATATTAAAGCGTAGGAGTACCATGGGAGTTCCCAATTCTGAGTGTCTTTTTCGACTTCATGAAATTTTTTGGGGAAAATATTAATTTCATAAAATTTCTTGATATTTTTTTCTTGAGTTTTTGGCAACGAAGAAAGTTCAAAAAATGTTCAGTAAGAAAAATTTATCAGTTGAGCTCCTTTACACCAAATGTAAATATCATAGTTGGTTAAGCATATATCTGCGAGATTAAGATGGGTTGCTGAGACTTGCCTATTTTAATACAGGCTGCTTTCTGCTGCAGAATGTATGTGCATTGCAGTTTGGAGAAAGAAGTTGCATGTCAATCGTTTTTCATTTCTCATTTTTGTGCGTGCAAGAGAGGGAGATGTTTCTTGATCTACTTGAACTCCGGGAAGTGCATAGCAGTGAATGATGATAATTAAAGGCATTTTAATGCATTTCTAATGTCTACACGTCAATATAGTAGTGCTCAAATATCACATGATGGAGCTAGAGAGTTTTTGGTTTTCCAAG